TATATTTTTAGCTGTCCAATTAATTTCTTTCTATTTTTGGTAGAGACGGGGTCTCACTCTTGCTCAGGTTGGTCTCGAACTCCTGAGCTCAAACAATCTACCCGCCTTGGCCTCCCAGAGTGCAAGGATTACAGGCGTGAGCATTTTTATTTTTAAAAAGGGGGAAGAGGAGACTGTTGATATGTGAAAGGATGAGAATGTAAAGCGGTTGAAATCATACTAAAGTACTGCCCTGGAAGCCAGGGCCGTATCACCGCAAGAACCCTACCGCTGCGGTCCCTAACCCCTGGGCTGCTGCCCGGTACCGGTCCGTGGCCTGTTAGGAACCAGGTCGCCTGAGCTCCTACCCCTCCACGTCGGTCCGTGGAAAAACCGTCTTCCATAAAACAGGAACCGGCCGCACAGCAGGACGTGAGCGGCGACCCAGCCAGCGAAGCTTCATCTGTATTTATAGCTGCTCGTTGTCAATAGTGAAAACGGGCTGAAGAAAAGTAGTCTGCTGCACGCACAGGTGGCCAGGAGACGTGTCGTCAGCGCCCCCACCACAGGGAATGGCAGTTATGGGGGACCATCCCCACGGGTCCAGCCGCCACGGGGACTGATACCACGGGACACCATCCCCACGGGGAAGGCCGCCATGGGGAAGCCCGAGTGCCCCCCCGCCACGCCCCTTGTGGACCCCCAGCGCCGAGACTGCGAAGTCCCCCAGCCCCCTCGGGCCCGTCTCCGTCCGTCCGAGCCGCAGTCCCCCTGACACGGGCGCCGCCCCGCAATGGGCCATAACTAGCTGACCCCGCAGACTTTCCGGGCCCCGTCGCCTGCGGCCTGGACCCGGCCGGGAATTCAAGGAGGAAGCGCCAGCCAGGGATGTTGCGATTGGCTGAGCAAGAGGAAGACCGGTAGTGATTGGTCCGCATCTTCTTCCGCCACCGGGCCGATTGGACGGACGCGATTGGTGCTGGTGTATCGGCCCGCCCCCTCCCTGCCGCCCCGGCCTGGGCGCGCCGTCGTCATTACCCGGCGTGCAGCGCGCCTGAGCGTCCCCTCCGCCCGCTCATGTTTTGGCCAAGCCAAGATGGCGGTGCAGGAGTCCGCCGCTCAGCTCTCCATGACCCTGAAGGTGCAGGAGTACCCGACCCTCAAGGTGCGCGTCTGCGGAGCGCAGGCCGGGGGGAGGCGGCTGCGCCTTCTTCCGGTGTCCGCGGGCGTGGGGAGCATCCCGGAGCGGGCAGTGGTCAGGGGGCAGCGGGGGCTGGGCGCGGCCAGACCGGGCGGGCTCTCGGGGGCGGCGGGCCATGCGCCGGCCAGCTGCGGCCAGTGCGGTCGGTCTGTGGCTCTGCCTGGCGCCTCGCTTCGCTCACGGAGCCCGATTGTGGGTCCTTCCGTTTTATAAAGAGCGTGAATCGAACCAACGGCAACCCTGGCGGTAGGGAGGCTGGTGTGTTTGGGGGCTGGGGTAGACGCCGGAGTTTACCGGCTGCAGGGTCGCGGACGCCCAGCCAGAGTGCCCCCTGACTCGCGGTTGGTGTCTAGCTGTCCTCCTGGAAGCTTAATGCTCGAAGGTATGGATGTGTTGGGTTCCTGTCACTAATTAGGGAACCTGTAAGGAGAGACCTAACGACCTAATGGGGAACTCTTTTAGCTAGGCGTCACCAAACCTGAAAAACAGCTCTTGCCACTCGATTGCCAGTTGCGTGACCTTGGGTGGTCACTTAGCCAAGTCGCATTCCATTAGAATGAAATTTGTGTTTTTAGTAAAAGGAGCCGGTATTTGCTCTTACTCAGTAGTAGAGGGTTTGATGGCGATTGACTAAAATGAAGCACCTGGGAAGACGTTCCTTCGGTGATCAAGGTCATAACATTCCTAGGAGAGCTGTGGCTGAGCTTTAGTGAGTCTGCATTCCTTTCCTGGAGGGCTGGGTAGCTTTTCTCTCCTTCCAGAACACCCTAGTCTTCCCGTTCATCTCAGCGGTGACAGGTGGTGGTGTTTGCAGTGTGGCCAGAATGCTGTGAGTCCCCCCCAACCCCAAGGCTGTTTAGCAACGGACCGAAGAGCACAGGTCCGGGCCAGCCTGCTAGGGTTTGAATACTGCCCCCCTGTGTTCACCACGTACTGGTAGACCACAGGCAGCACTGGGGTGATTGTTTAGTCTTGTCAAATGTATGTAAATAGTGGCAGCACCTGTGTCACCTGAGGGTGAAATGAGTGACCATACATGGCTTAGAGCAGTGGTGGCACTTATTAACAGGTACCTGTCATAGTTATCACTCGTGAAGTCAGACTGTGCCCTGGTATAGTTGGTCTTCATAGGAAAGCAGAAGCAAGGCTCTGTTCCTCTTCATTAACTAGTGGTTTAACAGTGATGTTTCCTGGCACTTGCATACCCAGCACTGGATCAAAGAAAGGAGGGGGAGTGTGCTGACATTATCAAAGGCCTCTTTGCTAGACCCCTTTAAATTGTAGGTGGTTAATTTTTTATATCAGTTTCATGACATTGGTGAGTTACTGTTACTTTAGAGATGAAGACCCTCGGGCTCAGAGAGCTCTCTGTGGTGATACTGTGCTGCCATTAGTGGGGGAACTTTTAACCACTGACCTTCAGTCTCAGTGCACCTCCAGGTTTGTTATTTCAACTGACACACAAGAAGACGTAAAGATCTCAGAACTATGGTGGTTTGTCAGTTTGGGTATTGACTGGTGAATATGGGAAACACCAGACGGGAAAGGTTTCTGGAAATCTGTTCATTGCTCATTGAATGAGCTAGGAAAGGACATGGAAGGACTCAGGAGAAGATTCCTCTTCAAGTTCTCTGTTGTTTCATAATTGTGAATGTAATTTGCATTCTGGAGTTACTACATAGCTTCTGATGAATAGAGTCATGCAGATACCCATACAAATAAAGAAATACAGTGTCATGATTCCTTTATTCTGTTGATGCTTGTACTACTGCTAAGTTAATACTTTTTTTCTAGAAGGTTTCAGGAGTAATTCCTAGTGGATAATGGGAAAGTTTTATAGGCAGATTAGGAACCCTTGATGAGAAGCATTTGTTAATATAGAATTAAACCAAACATTGGTAGAGCTGATAGCTCAAGAGCTGTACTATTCAGTCTTAAGGAGAGGTCCAAATGCAGGTGCAGCAGTGTGGATGTTAGAGAAGGGAGTGAGGGCTGAAGGGGTGGGGGTTTTAGAAGGTGTAGGGTAGATGTTGTGCTTCTGTAGTTTAAGAGAATGTTCTCCTGTATGGTAGTAGGAACTGGCATGTTCTGGGCTAGATCTTCACCTGGTAAGAATTAAACTGCTGTCCTGCCAAGTAAATCCTCCACAGACAGGTGGGGGATTCCTCACTCTTCAGAGGGTCCGTAGCCCTTGAAATATCCACTTCCTCACAGCCTCATGGCTGGTGGTAGGGCTCCTGGGTACCTGCCAGATACTTTTTTTATTTTCCTGGCGCAGTGGGAAGAGAATGGAACAGCCATGAAGTGCTGACCCTGTGTACATCTCTCCTCACTGAGCTTCCATGTCTACCACAATGGGTGGGCCAGCCTGTGAACATTTGGGCTGGATGATTCTTTGTCATGGGGGCTGTGTTTAGCAGCATCCCTGGCCTCTGTCCACCAAATGCTAAGAGCATGCCCCCAAAATGTACCTAGACATTTCCCCTGAGGGCAAAATCATTCCCATGAGAACCTCTGAAGTGGATATTGCTTTAGGGAACTTGTTTCTGTGTTCTTAAGAGCACAGAGGCATGGTTCATGAGGACTTGCCCTCTGTTCTGCCTGTGCCTGTGAGTCTTGTTTGCAATGGAATGCTGCCTGGTGTCAGGTTGGAGGTTATGCCCCTCAGGAGGGGGAGAAACTTGGATGCGTAGTCCAAGTTCTTTAACTGGAAGCCTGTTTTAATTATTTTAAATTTTTTTCTAATTATAAAAGTAATTTATTTTTCTCTCCAAATTCTGCTGCACAGATCATTTCATTAGTATTTTGGTGTATTTACTCTTACTGTTTTTTCCTTCAGATAGCTGAAGTAAAACAGTATCTTGGAGACATTCAGGTATAGTCTGTATGGCCCAGGGGGAGGAGCCTGGCATTCGTTACTGGGAGACCTGGCTCTGGATCCTGAAGCCTCTCCTTGAATCTCAACCTGGGCCCTCCATCGTCTCCTGGAGCCCCAGCCAGGGGTGTCCAGCTTGGCCCTGTTCTCTCATAGCCCAGTCGTTGATGCTGTCCTTTCTTCACAGGTTGACAGGCTGAAAAACATGGGCGTGTTGTTCCTGAGCTAGGTATCATGTGCCTTTGAATTCTCTACAGGAATATTTACATTTTCTGTTTTCAATATGACAGCAGTCTGGTTGACCAAGTACTGTTTTGCATTTTCAAAGCCTGGGTTAGTACTTGTCATAGAAAGTTTGAGTGCCAAGTATATGCCTAAAATTATAGCTTTTAGTGCAGTTTCTTAAGTTGCTCTTGGCTGGGTTTAGGAGGATCATGTGTTCTCAAGTGTGAGAAACACTGGTAACCGTGCAGCATGTGACTTAACAGACAAACACATTGGGTTTGATCCTGGTTATGTTGTGTCCTAGATAGTAGCCATAGACTAGGTTTTCTTTTTTACACCTTAGATTTTTTGGATTTGCATAGTGGAGCCAATTCCTCCCCAGAAGGTGGTTGTGTTCACTAAAGACACTCGTCCTCTATCTTACCCACAGGCACTTAATAAACCATAATCCCCTTCCTCTTACCAGGCTCAAAACCTTGTTAGGCCTTCAAAGCATGTCTGCTCTTATCTGCAGTAGCCTCACATTGCGTTCTGGAATCCTACCGATCTCTAGAGCACAGGTGGAATTCCTTCTCCTTGGAAGAGACATGCCTACTGTTTGTGCCCTCTTGGCTCCTGCTCTTTCTCATCTTTTGCACCATTGTTGGGTATCTGACCCTGGGCTGTGGTGTCCCGTTGGTGTTGGACCTGGACTGGAGTGTCCGTTGACATGCTTCTGGATGCTCTCTGCACTGGCAGACGTCTTGCCTGTTGTGCCTGGGCCTTCCTAGCCGGATAGATGTAGGCTGAGATGAGGGTGTAGACTGGGATTTTCTGCTAGCTATGGGGTAGTTTTTTGGTTTGTTGGTTTTTGTTTTTTTTTTTAAGTATAATTTTTTTTTTTTTTTTTTTGAGACAGAGTCTCACTGTGTTACCCGGGCTAGAGTGCCGTGGCATCATCCTAGCTCACAGCAACCTCAAACTCCTGGGCTCAAGCAATCCTTCTGCCTCAGCCTCCCGAGTAGCTGGGACTACAGGCATGTGCCACCATGCCCGGCTAATTTTTTCTATATATCTTTAGTTGTCCGATTAATTTTTTTCTATTTTAGTGGAGACGGGGTCTCGCTCTTGCTCAGGCTGGTCTCGAACTCCTGAGCTCAAACAATCCGCCCGCCTCGGCCTCCCAAAGAGCTAGAATTACAGGCGTGAGCCACCGCGCCCGGCCTTAAGTATAATTTTTAACAAATTTTGAGTCAGGAAAAGAAAGGACTTTCTAGTAATACCTGATTATCTGTCATGGACAGGCTAGGTTAGAGGCAGTACTGAAGTGAGGCCCAGGGACTTGAGCAATGGCACAGCTAGGGGCCTGCAGAGCTGGGGTGCCAGCTTGGGGCTGCCTGATGCCAAAGCCTACACACGTACCTTCTCACACCTTCTTGCGTGTGCTCCTTCAGCAGCAGTTCGAGAGCTTCCATGGGCCAGGTGCTGTCGAGGGCCCTGGGATGTTGTGAAAAGACAAGTAAGGAAGTAAGGTCCCTGTCCTCATGCAGCTTACTCTCTGGTGGGAGGGTGGCATTAAGCAAGTAAACATTGCAGATTCTTTAAGACATCGATGAAATCAAGGTGGGTGTGGGACAGCAGGAGGTGGTGGGCGTGGGCCTCCCTGGGTGAGTGCGATGACTTGAGCTGGTGGTCAGGGGAGTTGGTTTTGGGGCGGTGAAGCTGCCTGGGCTGTGTTGAAATCTGGGCAGACCCCAACCCTGGTAGGCACACAGTCCCGGTAGGCACACATGGCCAGGGGTGTTCCCAAAGCCATGCAGAGAGATTCTAACAAGGGGGACCAATGAGTACCTAGGCTGGGGACACAGCCTGTGTGTGTGGGGGT